TTGAAAAAAAAACCCCACATAAAAATCTAGAAGAAAATAAAAAAAAAATAAAAATAAAAAACAATGTTGTTTAGATTTCACATACCCACTTCTTCACATCTCATTTATTTCTCAATCAATGAAAATTGAGATTTTTCTCTCATGATTCATTTGAAAGTGATGATTTATTAAATCCAATGGAGACCTTATTCCTTTTGAATATATGGTAAAAATGAGAATAGGAACACAGAATATGAATGTTTATTGTAAAAAATCAAATAATATAGGGTAAAAGCTTTACTCAAATTTCCCACCCCATCCCTGAGTTAGACACTAGTTTCCAGTTTTATGTAAATTATTTCAAATTTTTTTGTATTCATATAAACTATATAACACACAACTCTCTCCACATTCACAGATTTTAACAACAACAGGAGTCTATCATAGGTATATGACTACAATTTTTTTCCTCAGCAGTATATCATAGACATTCCTTTTAGATCAATATCCTGTTCTGTCTCATTCTGTATCATGGCTCCATATTTTCCCAAGAATGTGTTTATACCATAATTTTTCATCCAGCCTCCTATTGGTTGGTATTTGTTATTTCCAACTTCTCTCATTATAAATTATGTTGTAATGAACATCATTTTATGTTTCATTTATCCTTGTGCCATTGTGCCAGTATGTTTGTATATAGATTATTACAAGTAGAACGAAGTACCAAGGGTATTAGATAGTTAAAATTTTGACAGGAAACACCAAATTTCCCTCCAAAAAGATTGCACAATTTATATTCCCATAAACAGTGTATCTGGTTTCCTCTAATTCTTTCATCACTGGAATCTAACAAATTATTTTTTTCCATAGGTAATATCATCATTATCTGTTTATTTCCATTTCCCTGATTCCTAGAATGAATGTGCATTTTTCTTGTATATTGGGCATTTCCTTTTTCTCATTCTGTAATTTACCCGTTTGTATACTTTGCAATAGACAAGTCTCCATAACTGTATTCAATTTCATTTCTGCAGCATTTGATGTTGTGAATACCTCAGTTCTTCGAATTTTTCTCATTTCCTATTAACTTCCTTTAAAGTGCTCTAAATTTCTTCCCAGTTTTCTAGCAAAACTTTGTAAATGCCTCTTCCTTTACCATTCCTTAAATATTGGTATTACCAGGGCGTTATTCAATGAAAGTTTGTGTCTGGGGTTGTTCCATCCCCCCCCCCCCACCCGCCCCATTCACATGTTGAAACTTAATCCCTAATGTGATGGTATTGGGAGCTGGGGCTTTTAGGAGATGGTTGGGTCATGAGGGGGGAGTCCTCATGAATGGGATTAGCGTCCTTTAAGAGAGGCCCCAGAGATCCTTCCACCTCACAAAGGCACAGACCATCTATGAACGAGTGAGTGGGCTCTCACCAGATACTCAATCCCTGGTGCCTTGACCTTGGACTTTCTAGTCTCCTGAATGTGAGAAATAAATGTTTGTTGTTCAAGCCTCCCAGTCTTTGGTATTTTTGTTAGAATAGCCTGAATGGGCTAAGATGTGGTGGGATTTCCTGCTCAATCCCCTTTTGACTTTACATATTCTTCCCAAGAGAGATCCTTCCTGTACATGTATGACTTCAACAACAATTTGTGTGCTGACCATTCATATATGGCACATATATGGTACATAGCTCAGGTCTCTTTCTTGAGCCCCAGATCCACAGATTCGAGTCTGTTTCAGACATCTTAATCTTAACATATCCCATACTGAGATTACCCTCATGTCCCCAACCACTGATTTGGTCATCCAAGCCAGTGAGCAGGCTCTTCCTTTTCCCATTTTCACCTCCCCCATACAAAACCAAGTATCGAGCCGAGGTCTGCTGATTCTGATTTATTCCTGTCACTTCTCCACTGCTGCCACTGCTGCTGCTGAACCTTCATTATTGTGTAGCTGGATTCTTGTAGTGTCTTGCTTCTAGTCTCATCCTCCTCTTCGTCAGCTTTCTCTCTAACCTGTGGAATGAAGCATATCACCCATCTGCTCAAAATCCTTTACATACCTCCCCTTGAAAGGGGTCAGGCTGAAATCCAAACTCCTAACTGCACGCACCAAAGCCTTAGGGCTGGACTTGGTTTCCTTTCCCTTCCTTTTATTTCAGTCACACAAAATATCCTCAGTTTCCTGAACTAGCCAAGTTCTCCAGCTTCTCAGATGTTATCATGTTCATCTTCCTTACGTAACACACTTCCCTTACTCTTGAAAGGAATCATACCTATTCATTGTCTTCCAGCAGCCTCCCATGACCACAGTTTGTGTTGGGTGGTCCTTCCATGTGGCCCCATAATTCCCCATTTCACAACCACATTTTAACACAAGACTATGAGCCATGTAAGAGCAGGCAAGAGTGTAGTTTTCATTTCTACATCTTCAGATATGATGTAGAGTTTATGAAATACCTAATAGATATTGGGAAGGAGGAGAAAGGAGAAGGGGAGAGGAGACTCTGGCCTCTGCTTCCCCGAAAATGGCTCTTACCAAGATTAAGGTCACTAGTGACCACACAATTACTAAATGCAACGGATAGCTTTTCCCCTAAGCGGCTTGAGGTGATCTCTGAAAATGTTTGTTATTCACTTGACCCAGAAAACCCTACAAAATCATGCAAATCAAGAGGCTCAAATCTTCATGTTCACTTGAAGAACACACATGAAGCTGCCCAGGCTGTCAAGGGTATGCCAATCTGAAAAGCCACCAAGTATTTGAAGGATGTCACTTTGCAAAAGCAATGTGTGCTACACTTTGCTGCTGCAATGGTGGAGTTAGGAGGTGTGCCCAGGCCAAACAGTGGGGCTGGACACAGGGTCGGTGGCCCAAAAAGAGTGCTGAATTTTACTGCACATGCTTAAAAACACAGTGAATAATGCTGAACTTAAGGGTTTAGATGTAGATTCTCTGGTCATTGAGCACATCCAGGTGAACAAAGCCCCCAAGATGTGGCGCAGAACTTACAGGGCTCATGGTCAGATTCACCCCTACATGAGCTCTCCCTGCCACATTGAGATGATCCTTCCTGAAAAAGGGCAGATTGCTCCTAAACCAGAAGAGGAAGTTTCACAGAAGAAAAAGATATCCCAGAAGAAACTGAAGAAACAAAAACTTATGGCCCGGGAGTAAGTTCTGCATAAAATAGATGCAAATAAAAAGAAAAACAGGGAAAAAAGAAAAAGAAAAAATGGAATGGATACACTTTCTGCTAATCTGGATACAGTTTTTTCAAACATCATTTCCTCCTAGACTATCTGCTGGATCCTTCTCATTTTCGTCTTTAGCATTCTTTTGTTTTGCTCACCTCTTAAATGTTAAGCCTGCCCCCAGGGTACTGTCTTTCAGTCTCCCTGAGGTGTGTCCAAACTGGAGCCTACTCCCAACCTGCAGTGTTGCGCTGCCCCCTACTGGAGCCATCGAGAGGCCAGCCAGAAAGAGTAGAGCTCCACTCTGGTTGGAAACAGGTGTTGTTACTCCCTGCTGGCTAGCCTCAAATGCTTCACTGGGCGACAGCCTTTTTGAAACCCTTTTGAAAACTCCCGGGAGGAGCAGGGTCTGAGTAAAGCCCACCCACCGTTCACTTCCTTCCTTTTCTCTTTCTCTGCCCTTGTGACTCTGCCTCTTCCTCCTCCTAGGCTTCTTTAAAATCTTCCCTAGATAACTACATTTTCTTTAAAATGTTCTTTAAAATAATTTTTATAATTTTCTTTAAAACCTTCCCTAGCTAACTTTTCTTATTTGTCTTTAAAATCATCCCTAGCTACGGCGCCTGGGTGGCTCAGTCGTTAAGCGTCTGCCTTCAGCTCAGGTCATGATCCCAGGATCCTGGGATCGAGCCCCACATCGGGCTCCCTGCTCCGCGGGAAGCCTGCTTCTCCCTCTCCCACTCCCCCTGCTTGTGTTCCCTCTCTCGCTGTGTCTCTCTCTGTCAAGTAAATAAATAAAATCTTAAAAAAAAAATCATCCCTAGCTAACTCCATTTCAACTTAGCTCATTCTACTCCTGTCTCATGTTCTCTTCTAGTGCAAAGATTTACGGTAGCCCACACTGCGGGAGGAGTTGAAAATTGGGGTGGATTGGAGCTGAACGTTGGTCTGACTCAGATTCAGTTATAAAGTGCAAGCAATAATGCCTGCCCTTCTCGCCTCACAGGGCTCCCATGTGTTCAAGTGAATGGGGTGTCATGTGCAATTTAAGGCATTGGGCTGACTCAGTTTCCCCATGCCGCTCCTTTGGGGAAGGGTAACTACTTCTATCATAGGAGTTCACAGATTGAGGAGAGCAGTGTTTTTACTGGGCTCCTCTATGTTGAATCAGGAGTGTCTCCAATTCAGAAATAGCTACAAATATGCTGTATTAGGGACTGTGGCTTGCCTTATGGGTCCCCAAAGTGCCCTAGGTGGACAAATAATTCATTTAGATTTAAGAGGGATGGGTCTGAAATTTCTTAGACCACAAGGCTGGGAAATCCATTCATTTGGGCCAAGTAATCTTGCTTTTTCTGCTAATGTTCAGTAGATAGGCTGATGTAAGGGTACAACCAGTGTCTTTATCATAAAGGAGAGGAGACTGAGGGTGGGGCTTAGGGTGTGGGAGGTCTGGTTTCTCCATTTTCTGCTCTGTATGACACTTATATGTCACCTGCTCCTCTCATGACTTAGGGTTGGCTCAGGCTGGAAATCCCCTGCAGGCTTGGTGAGTATCTACTAATTTTAACTTCTGGATTAATCAGGGTGACTCCTGCCTGGGAAACCAAAGCCAGATACTCTCTATCAGGAGACTTTAGTCTTTTCTTTCTTTTTTTTTTTTTTGGACTTTAATCTTTTCTGAGCACCGACCCTTCTGAGAATCCAACAGAAGCTATGGATCCTCTCTCCAGAAAACGGAACCAACTGCACATTCAAACAAAATAGTCAATTTCATTTTGCTTCCCCGGTGCTCTCAGATAGGGGGCTTCCTGTTTTTGGTCTCCAGGCTCCACCCATGAGTTGCTGAGTGTCGAAAAGTTTTCTGTAAACTTGGACCATGATTTCAAGGGCTCTGGAGCCCTTAGTCCCTTTCTGGCCTGGTTCTGGCCTGTCTGTAGTGTTCCTGGGAAGTAACATGTGCTCCCAAAGGTGGGAGTGGTGTCTGGCTCTGGAATTTCTAATGCTGCCTCATTTGTTCCTGGCAACCAGCATTCAAGGTACTTTACACAAGTTGTGTGCATGTGATTGTGCATTGAAGGCACAGGTGAGATGGGAAAGGGGATATGGGGTGGGGCTTCGTCCTGAAAGTGGAGTGTGGTCTCCAGGCAGCAGATACTTCTATGCTGGTAGGAGGGCTGTGGCGAGTTGGGGAAACTTCCTGAGCCTTGGAGAATCATCCCCTCTCTTTTCCCAAGGGATCATGACAAAAACAGGACCTCAGGGAGAGCGGGAAGGAGGCCCCTCAGATTTCGTTCCATGCTTTGTGGTCTGGGAAGATGTTGTGTTTTGTTTTGTTTTGCATTTTGAGTAAGTGAAGCTGCCCATTGACGGCTGCCACATTTTCTGCTCTGTACACTGTGCTCCCTGAGGCATTCTCGAGACCTCTGTCTATGCAAGGGTTTGTGTCCTGAACAAAGGTAAATGATGTTGTCATGGTCCCAAAGAGAGATCTAAATTGTAGGAAAGGAAACTCGGAGAGGATTGCTCTCTCTAGGGTCTCTGAATGAGGGTCTGAGCAGAGGCCTGAGGTGCCTCAGTATCAAAGGAGCCCCCAGCGTCTAGTTGTTAAGAGTTAAGGGTCATTCCTCTGCCACGGGCTGTTCTGGTTCCGCTGATGTACCCCGGGACTGAGTTAACGCTCCTTTCTGTCACAGCTGTTCGCCTCCTAGTACCTTTCTTTTCAGGTCAGCTGAGAAGTGGGAGTTAAGCTGTTGCCTTTCTCACTATTCCCCCTAAGAGATACTCAGGTCTTTTCCATGTCAAAGGCTTTAGTGCTCACCACTATGGGAAAAAAAAAAAAAGAGTAAAAATGAACAAGCACAGGAAACCAACACAGCATCATAAAATTACGGTGTAACTTTTAGGGAGAGGAGACAATCACGCTCAGTCATGCCCTGTTGACCACTCCTGCAGGACCTCTCAGGCTGGCAGTACTTTGGATCTGGTTGATGACTGTGTACATCTAGAGACACGATGTCTGCAGGGCATTCATAGCTGTATGGGCTCTGTGGGGCTGACTCAACTCAGAACACTGATATGGCTTTGCGAGTGGGGGCTGATATGAAATATTAACCCAACTTTGGGAAAGATAGTGCTGCTAAGAGAACTGGAATATTTCAGGACTTTCTCTAGACACAAGGGCGATGTGTCTAAATCTCTTCCTGCATAGATTATGCCCACAGATGGTCCTCTTATTCCCAGTTTATGACTTGCCCCCTATTAATCATATCCATTTACATTTAACTTTGCTGCTTGCCTTGAAGGAGGTGCTTTCTCTGTTATGGCTAGGTTTTCTGCCCAGGACTCACTGCACCGTCCTCTCCCTCTGCCCCTCCCATAGGCTGCCATTTTTATGTGACTTCCTCCTGTAAGCCTCTAGATTATGATTGGTGAATTGCTTGTTTGGATTGTTTGTCTCCTTGAGAGGACATGAAGACAGAGACCCTGTAGTGTGCTAAACTTAGCAGAGTGCCTGGAACATAGCTGGGGCTCAATAAATAATTGTTAAATACATGAATGAATGACTTCAAAGAACTTTCTTTTGGGCTCTATGTCTAGATCTTCCTGGGGACATAGTAGTTCTCTCCTCCCTGGTAAGGGATACTTTAGTGGAAAAATTTGAGAAGCATTTTTAAATCTCCTCTTTCATCCCTCCTCAGGCTTGAGTCTCTCAGCTCTCTGATTTCAGGTACCCTCCACTACTGGGCATCTTCCTCATCTGCTCATAGCACTTGGCAGAGTGCGGTGGAAGCAGCATGTGCTGGGAATCAGAAGACCTTTGTTTTATCTGAGTTCCAGGCCACAGGATTTTCTATAAATCATAAAAGCTTTCTGGGCCTCAGCTTTCTCAACTCTATAATGGGTATAATAATATGCTTCCCATTTTTTCAAGGGGTTATTATTAAGATAAAATCAAATAAAGAATGTGGAATTGTTTTGCAAACGTGACACACACAATTTGAGACAGATAAGAGCCTGGGAAGGACATAAGTAAACTTCAGAGCCCAAAGCTCTCTCTTTACCCACAGATCTGAACTTTTTTTAAAAAATTTTTTATTGTTATGTTAATCACCATATATTACACAGATCTGAACTTTTAACTGCTTTTTAAACATCTCCAGATTCTCCAAACATATGCCCCAAATCTAATTCATCATCTTTGTTCTGGCTATCTATTGCTGTGTAATAAGCCACCACAACTCTGCAGCTTAAAATAATAATCACAAATTTTGTGCACGAATGAGGGGGTGGACTGTGCTCAGCACCCTGGGATATCTCATGTGTATGTAGCCAGATCATGGTGGGGCTTGGGGTCATCTTTGAGGCTTCTTCACTCATGTGGCTGGTGCCTAGGCTAAGTAATACTACAATAGCTGTGTGTGTGATCTTCTCACATGGTGGCCAAACCTCTCAGGGTGAGTATCCCGAGAGAAGTAGGCAAACGCCGCATGGTCTTTTCTAACCTCACTTTGTGAGTCATACTTCTGCTGTCTCCTACTCACTGAGGCCATCACCAAGGGGAGGGGATGTAGATACCACCTCTTGATGGAAGGAGTGTCAAAAATTTGAGGATTTAAAAAACATTTTTATAATCTGCTGTTCCTCTGCTGTTTGCTTTCTCAGTAAATGACATCTCTATGTCCAATTACTGAAGCCAGAATTCTGGAAGCCGTCTTCACTTCATTTCTTTTCCTTGCCTGTCACATCCAATGAGTAAGTCCTATTAATTATACCTTCAAAAACTCTCTCAAATATATCTAATTCCATCCACCTCTGCTGGCAGATCAAACCACTTATTCTAAATCAAGACATCATTTTCTCTCATCCAATTACTACAATAGTAATTGTAGTAATCCTGCTTAAAAGCTCTTTTTAAAAAAAAATTCAATTCTTCTCTCTGTCTAGTATTTACCATACTGCCATTGGTATAAATTTTCTAAAATGATTATCTGTTTATTTTACTCTTCTTTTAAAAACTCATCAGTGGGGACACCTGGGTGGCTCAGTTGGTTGGGTGTCTGCCTTCGGCTCAGGTTACGATCCCGGAGTCCTGGGATCGAGTCCCGCATCGGGCTCCTTGCTCGGCGGGGAGCCTGCTTCTCCCTCTCCCTCTGCCTGCCGCTCCCCCTGCTTGTGCTTTCTGACAAATAAATAAAATCTTAAAAAAAAAAACAACAACTCATCAGTGGTCACCATAGTGAAAGAGAGTTACAGCAGACCCTGAGCATAAGCTTGCACTGGATAATATGGCCACTTCCTCCCTTCCTCCAGGTGATGTTCTAATCAACTGCACTACTTCTACTTCCTTAAATGGATCTTGTTTTTGTGGGTCTCTGAGCACTTGATACTTTTCTTCTCCTCTGGTTGGAACATTGATTACTCCTGGTCCTCATCTTTCCCTGGCTAATTTCTACTTACACTAATTCCTACTCACACTTTCTATGGAAGCCACTCCTGACCCCTAAATTCAAGTGATGTGCTCCCTTAGTAGTCCATATTTTCCTTATGCTAACACTTATCATCAATAGTGGAATCATCTGATTAATTGTCTGTATCCACTAGAATGGAAGCTCCCTAAGGTAAGGAGCTATGTCTCTTTCATTCTATGCATGGTGCCTACCACAGAGCCTAGTCCATAGTAAGTGCTTATTCTACATTTTTTAGAAGAGTGAATAAATGAATAAATTGATGTACATATGTATGTGTTTATGGATGGATCGATAGATGGAGGGAAGGAAAAACGGAGGGAGGGAGGAAGTTGTGAATCATTGTTTCAGTCAAGCTGGGATCTCAGCAAAGAATTTGCCTCCTATTTCACTGAAAAAAATGGGGACTGGAGATCATTAGGCAGAAAGCCTCTCAACTTTTTGTCTACCACCTCTAAACTACAAACTTCTGTACGTCCCCAACAGTCTTGTGCTCCTTCTCTTTTCCCTCAAAGCATGAAGTATCTCCCCTTCCAGGCAAGACCTGGGCCATTAACTCTGCTCTAAATCCCCTCTAGCCCAATGCCATTGGTCACCTTCTTGCTCTTCCAGGTCTCTTTCTCTACTGGCTCCTTCCCTTGACCTATCATAACTTGTCTTTTTCCTTCTTAAATAAAACTAAAAAATAAAACCAAAAACCTCTTTTTACCTTTCATGTCCCTCTACACAATGCCCTATCAGTTTCCTTCCCATTCACACTGAAATAGTTTACTTTTGTTGTCTCCTCTCCCTCGCCTTCCATTGAGTTCTTGACCCATTGCAATCTGGCCTAGTAAACTCATTAGTCTTCCCATCTCAGGAAATAATACTCTTGTCACCCATGACAAAATCTGGGGTCCTGATATCCATTGCCAAATTATTTCCTTAAGATAGGAGGCAGTTTAAGATGGTAGCATAGTAAGATCTTGAACTCCTCTCCTTCCATGGACACAAATCCAAGACTACATACAGTACAATTCTCTCCAAAAAGAACCTGAGAACTAGCTGAACAGCTACTCTACAACAAAGGATAAAAGGGCCACATCGAGATGGTTAGGAGAGGCAGAGAAGCAGTATCACTAAAATCCCATCCTTGGCATGGCACCCCACCATTGAGAAGGGTTCCCACAAATATATCAGGCATCCCAACCTTTGGGACCTGCACTGGAGGTACAAGCTCTCCCCCAAATATCTAGCTTTGAAAACCAATGGAGCTTATACCCAGGAGAACCGTAGGACTGTAGGGAATGGGGATTCCACTCTTGAAGGGCTCACATGCAGATTCACTCAATTTTATGACTTAGCACAGAAACACAGTTTGAAAAGAGCCTATATCATATGTGAAGGAGATTAATTTGCTGATTGTAAAGGGTCTTCCACAAGGACAAAAGCTTGTTGGGATTCTATCCAGGAATGGAGGTGCTGGTGGGTGTCATTTTTATGTTCTGTCTTTAGCTTGCTAGTGCTGTTGGGTGCCATTTTGCACTCACTCTAACCTGCTAGCACCTGCTCTGTTGTGCTGCTAATGCAGTTCTCCCCTCTCATGCAACTTCCTTAGTGGGCTAGTGTCCTGCTCCCTTCCCACCTTCCATAATCCCTCCAAACCAGCAGGCACACACAGCTCACATAAGGGATGCCCCTTGACACCCTCTTTGACGGTTCAGGGGGATTGTGTTTCTGGGCTCCATGGGTTTGAAGTAATCAGAGACAGTGCAAGAGACAACCAAGAACTAGGGCAGGGTTAAATAATAAGATTTATCACCTACAGAGGCCACCCCTTCAATACTGAGAGAGGTAGTTGTTTTGCCTGACACATAGAAACAAACACAGAAAGTAAAACAAAATGAGGAAACAGAGGAATATATTCCAAATGAAAGAACAAGACAAAATCCCAGGAAAAAAAACCTTAATAAAACAGAGATAAATAACCTGATAAAGAGTTCAAAGAATGGCCATAAAGATGCTCACTGAACTCAGGAAAAGAATGGATGAACACAGTGAGAACTTCAACAAAGAGAAAATATGAGGAAGTACCCCACACAGAAGTCACAGAACTGAAGAATGTGACAATTGAACTGAAAAATGCACTAGAGGGGTTCAATAGCAGGCTAGATGATGCAGAAGAAATAATCGGTGAGCTGGAAAACAGGGCTCACATAAGCAGAGCAGTAAAAAGAAAAAAGAATTTTAAAAAGTGAAGATAGCTTAAGGGACCCATGGAAAAACATCAAGTGGAATAATATTTGCATCATAGGGCTCCAAGTAGGAGAAGAGAGAGAGAAAGGGGCAGAACACTTATTTGAAGAAATAATGACTGAAAACTTTTCTAACCTGGGGAAGGAAACAGACATCAGATCCAGGAATTTCAGAGATTTCCAAATAAGATAAACATAGAAAGACCCACAACAAGACATTAAAATGTCAAAAGTTAAAGGTAAAGAGAGAATCCTAAACACAAAAAAAAAAAAAAAAAAAAACTAGTTACATACAAGGGAACACCCAAAAGGCTATCAGCAGATTTCTCATTGGAAACTTTGCATGCCAGGAGGGAGTGGCATAATATAATCAAAGTGCTGAAAGAAAGAAACTTCTAACCAAGAATACTCTACCGGGCAAGATTATTGTTCAGAATTGGAGAGATAAAGAGGTTTCCAACAAGCAAAAGCTAAAGGAATACACCTCCACTAAAGCAGCCCTAAAAAAAATGTTAAACGGACTTCTTTAAGCTGAAGAAAACATGAAAGTAAAAGTCTCACTGGTAAAGGTAAATATATAGTAAAGGTAGTGGAATAATCACTTACAAAGTTAATATGAAGGTTAAAAGAGAAAAGTAGTAAAAAAATAACTAACTGCAATAATTAGTTAAGGGATGCACAAAATAAAAAGATGTAGAATGTGACATCAACAACATAAAATGTGGTAAAGGGGAGTAAAAATGCAGGGTCTTAGAATGCATTCAAAATTAACTTGCTAGCCACTTAAAGTAGACTGTTATGACATATGTGAGCCTCATGGTTAACCACAAAGCAAAAATTTGTAATAGATCCACAAAAGGTAGTGAAAAGGGAATCTAAGCATAACACTACAGAAAGTCATCAAACCAGATTTACGGTGGTGACCATTTTACAATGTATACAAATGTTGAATTATTATGGTGTACACCTGAAACTAATATAATGTTGTATGTCAATTATACTTCAGTTTTAAATATTACTTCCTTAAAAGGTTATACAAGTTAGTTAAATGGTTGAGCTCATCAAAGAGCTCTTGGTAACTCCATATTAGTATCTTTAAAACTCACATCATTTCTTCCTTAATAGTTTTACTAGAAGCCATGTGACTTGATTTTAGAGTGATGAGAACTTGTTCTCTAGGACCTCTTTCACTTTCCTGGGTAGACTCTTTGGTAGGAAATGATCACTTTCTTTGATCTGGTTCCCTCCTTCCCCATTTTAGTTTTGCTTTTCTACAGACAGGAAACATGGCTAGGCACAGGAAAGAGCTGCTTCATTTTTTATTGTAAACTGCACGTAAACACAGTTACTTTATCCTATGCATCCAGACACATAACCGAATACTTCTTCCTACGATGCTTCCTAACTTTCTTTACAGTTATTTCCCCTGCCTTTGACCATACGCAATTGTTAGGAAGACAAATCAAGATTTTGTCAATTTAAAATTAAAAAAAACCCCACATAAATATATTATAGATAAGAAAGATATTAATTTGGGCGCCTGGGTGGCTCAGTTGGTTAAGCAACTGCCTTCGGCTCAGGTCATGATCCTGGCGTCCTGGGATCGAGTCCCGCATCGGGCTCCCTGCTCAGCAGGGAGTCTGCTTCTCCCTCTGACCCTCTTCCCTCTCGTGCTCTCTGTCTCTCATTCTCTCTCTCTCTCAAATAAATAAATAAAATCTTTAAAAAAAAGAAAAAAGAAAGATATTAATTTATCTGAATTTAGTAGACGATTAGCAGATTAAACCACCATCTTGATAACCCAAATTGTATTACTCCATTTCTGCATTAATTTTGCAATCTGTATTTGTAAAATTAATCCATATTTCTTCTTTAACTTGTGAATGAATTATAGAATTCTTTCAGAAGACTAGAATATCTTATATCCCTTTTTAAATGGTCAGTCAAGCGTTCTTTCTACTGCTTCTATCTTCAGGTTCATGTTGCTCTTCCAGGCCACCCTTTCATTAGATATTTCAAAACAAAATTCACTGTTCCATTTTCTGTTTTCAAGCATGATCTCAGCCCTTCTGAGGCTGCTGGATTGATATTTCAAGGTTTCTTTTAGCTGCTTTGCGTTGACTTTCGATATCGGAAAACTTGAATGCCATATCCAACACATTTTTATGTTGTTGGGTTTTTGTTTTTTTTTTTTTGAGAATTCCTGGGCACCTCTTCCACTGCGCCTCTGCTTTCTTTGTCATAATAGTCATCTTGGGTAGGAGGATGGGTTAGCCTGGTGATGGGTATTAAAAAGGGCATGTTCTGCATGGAGCACTGGGTGTTATATGCAAACAATGAATCATGGAACACTACATCAAAAACTAATGATGTAATGTATGGTGATTAACATAACCTAATAAAAAAATTAAAAAATAGTCACCTTTTATTCATTTATTATTGATTTTATTCATTTATTATTATCAGGATCCAGCCATAAGACAGGGCTCCCCTGGCCCAGTTTGGGCACATTTTCATATTTAAGAAGCACAATTCATTGGTCATAAGTAACTAAATAGTAACTCAAATTTCTACTTACAGTCTCTCAAAAGATGTTAAAGGAAATCCAATTTATAAACACGGTAACATTTCCTACACCCACCTTTCCTGTCCTCTTCAGTCTTCTCAAACCATCCCATCCATCTGCTGCCCAGACAGTCTTACTCTTCTGAGCCCCAATGCACTAGCACCCCTATTTCTAAACTGGCTTGAGTGGCCTTGGTATTTGCTTATCTCTTCCTTTCCTCCCTACTCATCAGTCCAAACTGATTTACTTCTTAAGAAGTAAACAAGAGGGAGAAGCTGAGTGGAAAGTAAAAATACAAAAAATATTTTTGACTAGCAGGAGGTCATGAAAGAAGAAGACTGGGAGCACTTATGTAAACATTTTGTCACTGTCATCCATTTATTCATTGTCTACTAAATACTAAATATCAACCGAGTATTGTGGAGATTCAAAATAGAGCAAGATATTGTCTTTATCTTTGAGAAGCTTACAAAATTAGGGACTATGTGTCTGCTATGGTTTCTCCCTATCCCTCACACTAAATTTTTGAAGTTCTTTTGAGCATGTTGGAAATACCCTTGCCAGACATGATCTCTTTGTCCTTATAAAGCAGATTCCATTCTCACAAAGAGAAAGGATGCAAGGTATAATGGGCCTGGATCTTAACTTGAGTCTATGTGCTGTGTAGTCTTCATTCTTTCGCATTGGATACATCCTTCTTTCTCCCACCCCAAAGAAGCTTTAGGGAAGTTGTCTGTTCTGATAGAGGTCCCAGCACATGTCCTAGGTTAGTGACCTGGTTTTGTGTTATCTCTTGTGCATGCTGACACCTTTTATTTTTAGACCATTAGGGTACAAGTGAAAGCTGATTGAGGAGCTGCTACAATTTTTTGGATTTTAGGCCCCTTCTTTCACATTCTTCAGTCTTTCGGATTCACATATGAACATCCATTTCTAAAAAATGTATCATTAGTCTAGTCCTTATTTTACCACTGTTTTGGTATAATAAAATAAGTTCAACAGGCAGTTGTCAAACATCTTAATAACTTAGGCATAGAACTAGGTGTTATGGATCCAAAAAATAATGTAGGTAATAATAATAAACAATACATGACCTTTATTGAATGCTTACTAATCTTCCAAGTATTGTTCTAAGCACTTTATTTGTATTAATTGATTATTTGTATTAAGTTATATTCTAAGCATTTTATTAATGTAACTCTGTATTAGAGTTCTTCAGAGAAACAGAGCAAATAGTCTATATATAAATATATAGAAAGAGGTTTATTATGAAGGATTATCTCATGCAATTATGGAAGCATAACCCATACTGTGTAGTTCTCTATATGGAGAAGTCCCACAACCTGACATCTACAAGCTGGTGGCACAGGAAAGCCAGTGGTGGAGTTCCAGTCCAAATCTGCAGGCCCAAGAACCAGGAGACCCAATAGTGTAAGTCCCTGTCCAAGTCCAAGGCCCAAGAACCAGGAACACTAATGTCCAAGGGTAAGAGAAGATGGATGTCCCAGCTCAAGCAAGGAGTAAATCTGCCCTTCCTCTGCTTTTTTGTTCTTTTTGGGTTATGGTGCCTACCACATTGGTAAGGGTGATCATCTTTACTCTGTTTACTAGTTCAAATGCTAATCTCTTCCAGAAACACCCTCACAGACACATCCAGAAATAATGTTGTACCAGCTATCTGAGCACCCCTTAGCCCAGTCAAGTTGACACATAAACTTAACCATTACAAACTTTATGAGATAATAACCAAAACAAAGACAGAGAGATTAGGTAACATGCTCAAGTTTACATAGCTAGCAAGTGGTAGAGCCAGGATTTGAACCAAGGCAGTCTGATTTCAGAACCCATGCTCTTAACTATCACACTATAATGGAAAATGAATTAGACTCATAAGACTCATTTGTTGTCTTTAGGAAACTTATAGTCTGGTGATAGAAGCAGGTAGTAGACATTAAACAGATCATTTCAATATAACATGATTGCTAAGATATAGACATGCACGGGATGTTGTATCTTTCCTTCCTCTCTTCTTCACTACCTATGTGTATGATTACCAAAAGGTCATTTTGGTGGTTGGCCATCACTTCTTACTGAGAAATAAAAGAAGGGGTTAATTGTAAGTTGTGCTGTCTTCCTGAGCATATGTCTGACACTTACTGGAGTCTGCCAAGGATGACTTAGGCCAGTAGTTCTCACCCAGAATGGGGGTGGGACATTTGCGATACCTGGAGACATTTTGATTATCACATCTGGAGAAGTGCTACTGGTCTCTAGTGGGCAGAGGTCAGAAATGCTGCTGAACATCCTACAATGCACAAGGACAGCTCCCACAACAGAGACTTATCTGGCTTAAAATGTCAGTAGTGCCAAGGTTGGAAAACACTGATCTAGGCTGTCTATTGTCACTACTTCTATTAATTCACATGGAAACAAGTAACAGAATGAGAACAAATCTAGAATATATGTTCGGTGATTTTAAAATCCTGAAGAGAATGTCCTGCTGGGCTGCATGCTCCAAGAGGCTAGAGCTTCCATCTGTATTGCTGATGCTAGAGCCTCACGCAGTGCCAGGCACATTAGTGGTGGTTCAAATACCGTTACTGGCACTGAATTGTTTTTGTCACAGAGATGATAATGTGTGGAATGGAATCAGAGGCACTGTGACAATGAAAGCCTAAGTATGTCTGCATATGCACTAGGCACAGGATAAGTGCTCGGTAAAGTGTTGAAGGCAGAGATGGATGGTGGGAAGGATTAATAAATAGAAACTTGAAAGCCCTGGGGACACAGGCATTTTCAATCTTTTTTTAAATTCATTTTCAATCTTTTATTAGTTGAAGAGAATGCTTTTTGGAAATGATAGATTTGTGGAAAGTGAACAGCTGGATGTATATATGATATTGAACAATATTACTGAGATTTTGTGTGACAGTAGATGAGGTCAGAATAATATAGGTCGTATTTCCTTTTTCCTCTATAGGTAGCTTCTTTCTACTGTTCTTTCTTAGCCTATATATAGATACCTAACTATATCCACCTCCTTTGTTCTTCTTCCTCCACAAAGAGTCAACACACCTCCCTTCATCTTGCATCTTCCTGCTGTCATCTTTTCTTTGCCTTAACCAGACAAGCTTTGGCACCCTCATGAAAAAAGAACAGAACAGCAAACACAAATAGGAATAAAAGTGAATTTAGTTAGAATGAGAAAAGAAACCCCAATGTATTACAAGTTTTAAAAAGCTGAGAAATACTATGAATGCCAGAAAAATAGCATACTATTTTTATTAATGAAATGCCTTCATGCTTCTATAATACTTTGCTAATGAATAGCTCTGGCTTCCATTCACTTCAAACTTTGTTTCTTCTCCACTTCCTGCCTACTGCTAGAGAAGTAAATCGAAGCAACAGGGAACACAAGCCCAGAGAGGGGATGTGACTTGTCATCATTTTATTTGAAAATCTACTGGCATGAAAGCAAGGGAGAGTGTCGGGGCCAGCATCAGTGTCCTTTGTCTTTATCTTCTGGGGCAGAACTAGAAGGATTATCAGCAACATGCCCTACCCCCTTACCCACCCTCAAGCTCCAACTTTTACTGAATTCCTGATCAGAGGGCAGACCCTCTGGTGAAGACCATACTTACTGTTTCCAAGCAGAAACCTCTTCTCTCTTCCCTGTCCCACCAGGTCAGGCGAAAGCTTTGGCTGCTGGGCCCCTCTGCCCTCTCTAAGAAGGCTGTCACTCTCATTGACAGATCATTCGGAACATCCAGTGACTGCCATCTCAGGCAGCAATGTGAGTCTGCAAATCTCCAGTTTGCCTGCTAACTACAAACAACTCACCTGGCTTTACACCACCAATCAGAAGATTCTAGAATGGGAGTCCAACAGGACTAGCTTCTTCAAGTCTAAGTTTAAGGACAGGGTGCGACTTAATCAAAGCCATGCACTGTGCATCTATAATGTCCAGAAAGAGGACAGCAGCACCTACATCCTCAGGGTGTTGGATGAGTCTGGGACAGAGAAGGACTGGCATATCTCACTGGAGGTACATGGTGAGTTTGGGGAGTCCCACTCTAGGGCCCTGGATGGACCACTGGGAGGTTTCCTAGGGCACATGGGGGCCCTTTCTGGGAGGAGGATAGAGAAATCTCAGGACAGGCTTCATTCATTTCTCCTGGAGCCAGTTCCTCTGGGGAGTGAGGTTGGGCCAGCAGAACCAAAATTGATAGCCTTGGGACATTTAAAAGTTCTTCTGATGTTAGTGTCTGAGATGTGAAGAAAGGGAAAACCATAGAAATGATTTCCTCTCTGGTCTCTTCATGCTCTCCTGTGACCAACCCAAATCAGTTCTGAGCTCATCTTAATAATATACCTGAACACAGACTTCATCAGACTTAAGGAAAAAGTTATAAGAGACACAGGATGGGGCAGGAGCTATTAAAGGAGGGTTTTTTTATTTTTCAAAATGGATGGGACATAAACTTACACTCATAGCTCCAGCCTAACCGGTATGTGTGGAATAAGGACTAGGATATTATACTTGGAATCAGACAGACCTGGGTTAAAAACCTCGGTTGCTAGCTCACTTCCTAGCTGTGTGACCTTGGAGAAAGGTCGTAACGTCTCTGTGCCCATATTTGGTAAGTTTGTTTTGATGGCAAGTAACAGAAGCCAATTTGATGTAAATTTAGCAAAAAAAAAAAAAAGAGTCTATTAAAGAAACTAGAACTATTTAAAGCAATTCAAGGAACTGAGAAGAGTTAAGAAGGGCTGAACAAGAGGAAGAATGAGGACCAGGGCCAACCCAGAGTCCCCAGCCTCAGCAATCTGTGGACTGTGCCTCTTTTGATCCCTGCCACGTACATGACTTACCTCTCAAAGCCTAGACTTTTTTTTTTCAGAGTTCAGCATGAGTACTTTTATATAACTGAAGGAAATTAAGCCACATATGTTGAAGATGAACTGTTGAGAAAATAGTACATTTTTAAAAATAGGAGATTTCTATAATCAATTGACCATTCCATTCACATTAAAGCACTCATAATTGGAGTATTTTTTATTTTATGTACAATGAGTTGACATTAAAGTAGGTATCGTGGTTATCTGCAGTTAACGTAGGTTATCTTGAATGACCAATTCAAGGAAGTTCACTTAATCCGGCTTAATGAAGCCTATATCCTTCGAGTACTGACGGAAACATGGCGGCACATATTGAGGCCGTATTTCTGGATCAGAGCGTGCCGGTTTGAGCAGACGCGGCAAGAACGAGAACCCTGGCCAGATTTCCCCGGATGGCTCCAGTACAGCTGCTGGTGACCCATCTTGCTCTCTCGGATGCAACGAGGCAAAAGGCTCAAAGCCTAGACTTTTTAACTCTTGGTTTAAATTCTCAGAATTTAAAGGGAGAAACTGATTAAGCCAACTTGGCTCAGGTATGCATACCTGATCAAAATATTTATGGCCCAAAGTGTCAGATTTTAAGGCAGAAACATGATTCCTGGGGAGGCCTCTGTGGTGTTGAGGTAGGCAAAAATTAGAGAAGAGGGGCAGGGCAGACATCCAAGACAGGGTCTCCCCGAGAGCCTCGGGGCCCTCATATTGTGAAGACAATTATATCTTCCTTTTAGGATATTATGAGAATCAAAGTAGAAAATGGGAGTGAAACATCAAAAATGAAAACAAGGGGTTTTTCCCAAACCAAATCATTTTATCATGCAGTTTCCTTCTACCACATGATTACCAAAAATACAAATACAAAATCTCTAGAAAATACTCAGAAAATATCTGTAATCTTTCTACCCCCAAACAGTGTAAATGAAGAGTGTCTTCTACAACCCACCAGCTCAATGGTCCCTGTTCTAAGAGGCTGGAGCCTTCTTCTCACGTACTTCCTCCAAGTCACATGGCCTGAAAATTCGGGAAGTCCTGGGAAAAGGAAAAGATTCAAAGTCTCTTACGGCGGTGTTAGGAAAAGCCCAACTTTGTATCATTTACTAATTTCTGTGGTAAATACTCCCACCACAGCCAACTCCAAGTTACAAATGGTTTCACAATCTGCTTGCAACATTCTTGAATATTTTAAATTCCACAAACTGGTGTGACTGTAAGCACACCTGCCTGGACATAAAACCCTGAGGATGGGATTAGCTGCAAGCTCCTTCTTCAGTATAGCCCCTGAATTTCTGATAGCTCTAGTAAGGCATCTTAGAGCCAGACGACACTGGCTGGCTCAATGAGCCCCACCCACAAAGCACACAGTTACGTGCTGCTCGCCATGTGAAATGTGGAAGATGTTACAAGACAAGAGGCTAGACCACAGGAAATGGCAGAAAATAGTACAAAAATTGCTCAGTTCAAGCATGGAGGGGAAGTCCAGCAATCTCAGGGGGTTTCACTCAGGAGATGGTTCTAGAGTTCAGGAGGCCAGGCAGGTGAAACTGCCATTGCCCACCACACGCTTGCAGCCAGAGGGGAGCTCTGATCTCGTCAATTCTTGGCACGTTTAATCCTTTGACACCAGAGCAGCACTGATTCTGTAGGTGTTTTACCCATGGCCAGAATGAAAAGGCCCAGAGGGTTTCAGAAAAAGTGGCCCTGACAAAGGAAAAAGCAGATGCTGGGATTACCTTTCATCCCATCTGGTGGCAGGACAACATCGGTGATAAGATGACCTCCGACACGCATAGAACACTTGCACCCTGCAAGAAGTACTTCCCCATAGACAATGCCATTTTATCTCACTAACACTGTGCTATGAGGTAGAGTCAGTTTACCCATGAGAAGAAAATTCAAGGGGTTAATTATTTTGATACTGTCACTCCATGAGAGCCTATTCCAAGACCGAGGCTGGTCTTACTCCAAAGCTACTGTTTTGTCCTTTGTATCTCATAACTGCTCCATCCATCCATCCACTCACCCATCCATCCATCTATCCATCCATCCACTCACCTATCCATCCATTCATCCATCCAACCATCCATCCATCCATCCATCCATCCATCCATCCATCCATCCATCCAATCCTTTCATCAGATACTTACAGATTTCTATCTGGTAAGCACTGTGGTAAACCCTGAGATACCAAAGTTAACAGACACAGTGCTATTCATCACGCTAATGTGTGCTGGGGGTTACATGAAGTTCTTCTCTGTAGCTCTTCCAGAATCCAGGAGAGGGCTTTGCTCTGTACCTCCTACCCCAGGACTCTTGCTGAATCTGAGTCCAAGAGCTCTTGATGGACAGGCGGGCCACGGTGCCAACTGTGGGCCAGTGCTGGAGAAGAAATTTCACGTAGCTCAGACAGTTGGGATACTAAATCTGACCCCAGGAGATCTTTGCTGCTCTTTCTGGCCCACAGATAGTCATAACCCCATTTTGTTTCTGGGTGCATGGCTCCCCCTCCTGGATCCATTTTAGCTTCACCCCCAAGGAGTAGCCCTTCCAGTCTGAACCTCCAGAGATCAAAGCTGCTCACTGGCTCCCCCTGTAGGGGCCTCTTCTCCATGACACCACTTTCTGCAGCACTCAGCGCCCCTCCCTAGTTTCCTTTGTATTTTATTGGTTAAACTCTCAAAGCGTAATTGCCTCATAAATGCATAAACCCATTGTCTCATCTTACAACATCCTCCTCATCTTCAGATCCTGTACCTAAACCTGACATAGAGATCCGGAAGACACAGAAAGTGAACAATGGCTGTCATCTGCAGCTGTCATGTATGATCCCAAACCAGTCCATAAACTATACCTGGTATGGGGACTTAGGACCCTTTTCAACAGGGCTCCAGAATTTTGTGCTTGAAATCACCGTTGAGCCACAAAACTACTCCAAGTTTTACACCTGCCAAGCGAGCAATCCTGTGAGCAGCAAAAATGATACTGTCTATTTCACCTTACCTTGTAAACTAGGTAAGAAATACTCCCCAGGGAGCGACGGGGGGGGGGGGGAGCTAGGGTAACTAGTTTTCTTTTGCATGAAATGAAGAAAGGTGTGGGGATACTATTCAGTCTCCTGCTCAGATGGAAGATCCCAAAGGCCTCTGTGAGACCTGAGAGACTTGGGTTCTACCCTGGGCTCTGCCGCCAGCTCTCAGCAAGCTTATTTGGCTTTTGTGGAGCTCTCTGTCCTCACCTGCAAGGGGTGGCTGGCACTCCTACCCTGCTCTAACAATGCATGGTCCTAGAATCTGAGGCCTGGGTAATTGTAGGACAATCTGAGCTGTCAGGGTCGAGCAGGAGAAAAGCCCAAGTGGGAGAGCAGACCAGACACAGTTGAACAGGTACATGAAGGGGTTTCTGGCAGACAGCCTAAATCAGCAAAAGAAAGAAGGGCCAAGTAGATGAAAACAAGTAAGAACAAGTAGTGAACAAGAGTGAGGACCTTATCCTAAGGCAGAGACTCTCTGCTTTTTAGAAAGACAGACTCTGGGTTTCATGTTTCAGATTTCTCTGTCTCTTGGGAGGACCCACGCACTTGAGCATCACTGCTGGCTCTCTGTCAAGCTTACACCAGGATTGGGCAGTAAGCTCATAGGTTTTGGAGTTAGGTACTTGGGGTTAATCCTGGGATTGTCACTTAATAGCTAAGCAAGTGACTTAGCTTCTCCAAGTCATGTCCTTCTCCAAGTTGTATCCCTCTTAAATAACAGACAAAATGGTAATTCTTACCTCATGCTGTTATGAGGACTAAATGAGACAGGACAGATACCCTATCTCGAACAGTGCCCAACAGGTCTTCAGTGAATGGTACTTAAATTAGAACCAGTTCCTTCAATTCTGGAGACACTGGGGGCTTGGGGGACCCCTCGATAAATTTAGATTACTAAACCCAGCATTCTGGGTCTTGTACTTTCCACACCCCTGAAACCATATCCCCAAGTATACATAACCATATCCTTCTAGAATAACTCATGTCTGTGGTGCCAACATTTACCTGAGTTCCCTGTCATGCCAGGCATTAGGAACCATGGCCCCCAGAGGCCCTGATCTTTCATGGTCTTCCTGGACCTGGTCTACTCTCCCACCGTGCTGATTTCTTCACCTCTGTTCCTGCACGCGGACTATGGAACCTGTACACTCTTCTTTATTCTTCCCACCTGCCTGGCCATGCCTCTTCTGGTCTCTCCTGCTACCACAGACCCTATGCAACAGTTCAGTGTCTGACCATGAGCCCACCTTTATATCAACACCATGTCCTGAGATCCAGAAAAAGGAAGAGACATAATCCCCGTCCTTTATAAAATGAGGGTGACCGCTCATCTACAGCGAGGATGAAAACAATAATAAGGCCCTTTTTTGGAAGGGCTAAGCCCATCTTGTCACTTTCCAGCCGTCCAAATTATCCTAGAAAAGAACCCCTAATTTCCCTTCCCAACTGTATCACTCATTCCCTTTTCTTTCTATTTTCTGCTTCCTCTCCTGTCCTCTCCTCCATCCCCTCTGTTCTTATGCCTTCTCTCCCCTTCCCTTCCTATCAGTCTTCCCCTTCGTTCTCTTTTCCCCTCTTGGTATAGATGGGATGTGGGGTGGAGAAATGGAGAGGGGAAGGAGTCCTACCTTCCCTAAAGTCAAGACACCTAAGCATTTGGAGTTTTCCTGCTCTTTCAGCCAGATCCTCTGGAGTAGCTTGGGTTGCAACATGGCTAATGGTCATGGTACCCATTGTTCCTGGCCTCATATGGACCTGAGACAAGCTCTTCCAACTCAAGAGTGAAACTTCAAGACAGCTGGGTCTTGCCTTCATCAGCAACCGCGCTGTTAACCAAGACAGGAGCTCTGGCTACACGGGATGGTAGCAAGTGTGCTATTGAAGCATCTACAAGCATTTTCAAATTAACTTTTTCAAAACTACAGTTAATACTTTATTTTATATCTCCTAGTTATTTTCCAACACACATACATAGATACACATATATTTTTCCCGCCAAAAGATGTGACCACACTATGCAATGTTTCCTTGTTTAAATAAAGGATGTGACCATCAACGTCAGACTGTCAGACAATGTCTGCTCCACTGGCCCAGACAAAGGGGAAGATCCAACACAACATGTTGTTGTGTCTGAAGAATTAATTTGTGCCATCTCTGACTCTTGGTCCCACATCCATGCCAAATCTCCTGGGGTTCCTTCTAGCTTTGCCCCCCCCCCCCCCCCCCAAGTTCTGGCCTCCTCTCTGAGGAGCATGCTCTTTAGGTTTCCTGGGAATATGGGTTCAGGCTTACCCCTCAGGAGTGAGCATGCAGCTTTGCCACATAAAAAGGGTCCCTCCCAAGCCTTTCCTGGGGAGCCGAGCACCACTACTTCCTTTGTGGGCAACTCTTCAAGTCCTACCTGTGTCACGGGATCTAATAAAACCATCAGATAACAAAATGTTCTCACTAGGGTCTTCCATTACAGGAAGGTAGGAACCCCCAGGCCCAGCACTGACGGAACACCTGGGATTTCTTTTGTGTGTTCCTCTCCTCCAAGGCTTTCATGGGCCTGGAGCTGAGAGGGCCACTCAAGGATGTATTCCCCCTTCAGGGAACTGTCCCATCACAGATCACTTTTTGTCTACATCAAACCAGCCTTCCCTGCCATCCAGCCCTCCTCTGTGTCAAAACACGCTGTGTGCTCACCAACCTCACGTTTTCCTCCTGGGCTGTCCTGGTTAATTTTATGTGTCAACTTGACCGGGCCCCAGAGGTGACCAGATGTTTGGCCGAACATTATTCTGTGTGTGTCTGTGAGGGTTTTCTGGATAAGATTAACATTTGAATCAGTAGCCTGAGTAAAGCAGATTATCCTCCCTAATGTGTGTGAGCCTCATCAAATCAGGTGAAGGTGTGAATAGGCTCTCCCTCCCCTAAGTATGGAAGAATTCCTTCTGCCTGACTGCTTTTGACCTGGGACATTTGGATTTTTTTCCTGCCTTCAGATGCCATCACCAATCCTGAGTCACCAGTCTGATGACTCAGACCTTGGGACTTATAAGCCTCCATAATTGCATGAGCCAATTCCTTATAATAAATCTTTTTGTGTGTGCGTGTGTGTGTGTGTAGCTCTTACTGGTTTGTTTCTCTGGAGAACCCTGACTAATACATGGGCCACTAGAAAAGCTACCTTTCTCAGCTCCCTTTCTATTTAGTTGGGGCCATGTGACTGGTTTTAGCCAATAGAAAATGGATGGAATTAATGTGCCAGGAAGTGAGGGACTCTGAGAAGTGGAGCCACATAATGCAAAGGGCCTGGGTCCAAGCCATCACATGGCAAGCGGCTGCCTGGTCTACACCAGACACGCATAGGAAAGTTTGGTTTTTGTTTGTTACCACAACATAGCCTGGACTCCCTAAGTCTCACACCATCCCCTTCAGTCCAGCCTGTGGTTCCATCCCAGCCTCACCTCTGATCGGCTGGCACCTTCCAGTGGGACTGTTTGGGTCTCTTTTCTACATGCAGCATCCTTCCCTTTTCCCTCACTTTTTCGTGGCAGAAGAGGTTTTTTGGAAGGGACATGCACACACACACACACGCGCGCACACACACACACACACAAATGGAATCAAAGAGCATTTCTGGGGGAAAGCAGTAAAAGGAAAGAAATGTCACTTTATATAAAAAAAATAAGCATAGTCCTCGCCTGCTAAGGAACAGGCACACCTCTCCAGGCATCCTGTTTCAGTTGGATCCAGTTACTTGAAGACCAGAGGCAAATACTACCTTTGACAGCCCAGGTCACTGGCACCAACTGTTCCCTGCTTCTTTCCCTCAAGCCAGCGCCAGATACATAGTTTGTTGGACCTACTGCAGAATTAAAATGTGGGGCCCCTTGTTCAAAAAGCAGGAAAAAAGTGCCATTAAATGTACTAAAATATAAAGTTTTTTCCTTTATTCCACAGCCTTTCTGTACTTGGGATGATTTTTTAAATTGCTATTTAATGTTCTAAGTAAAGGAAATTTTTAAAAATTTAAATTATTATGAATTTTATTATTTATATTGTGCAATGTTAGTTTTGAATGAAATAAGAGAATATTTAATTTGTATGTGAAATAATTGAAATTACTCAATTCATATTTGGTAGCTTATACATGCATATGCATTTTGTTTTTGCTAGAACAGTAGAAATCATGCAAAAAACTAACTTAACTTTTTATTTTACTTCTTTTTTTTTTTTAAAGACATTTATTCAGTGTCATGACCAGACTATTACATTTAGCAATCAACAGCATGGGTACAAAAAAAAAACTACATTAAAACCCTTTGTTGGAATGCTTTACATTTTCCACAGAACAGAAACTTAAATAACCTGTTACACAATTAGTCACAAATACAGTCCTCGAGTTTTTTGCCCATACACATGAGTATTGTCTAAAACACGTCTTCTTTTTTTTTTTTTTTGAATTCTGGCTTTATTCTGTACATCACTAATGATAAGCTAATCCTTATGTTTACAGAGGACCTTGAGATAATTAGCTAATGGTACTATTAGGCCGCCACGTTTAAAATTAGTTTATCTCATTTTTATGCCTTTTTAAATTTTATTTATTTTATTTTATTTTTTAAAATTTTTTATTGTTATGTTAATCACCATATATCACATCATTAGTTTTTGATGTGGTGTTCCATGATTCATTGTTTGTGCATAACACCCAGTGCTCCATGCAGAATCTGCCCTCTTTAATACCCATCACCAGGCTAACCCATCCCCCTACCCTCCTCCCCTCTAGAACCCTCAGTTTGTTTTTCAGAGTCCATTGTCTCTCATGGTTCGTCTCCCCCTCTGACTTACTCCCCTTCATTCTTCCCCTCCTACTATCTTCTTCTTTTTCTTTTTTCTTAACATATGTTGCATTATTTGTTTCAGAAGTACAGATCTGAGATTCAACAGTCTTGCACAATTCACAGCGCTCACCACAGCACATACCCTCCCCAATGTCTATCACCCAGCCACCCCAACCCTCCCACCCCCCACCACTCCAGCAACCCTCAGTTTGTTTCCTGAGATTAAGAATTCCTCATATCAGTGAGGTCATATGATACATGTCTTGCTCTGATGGACTTATTTCACTCAGCATAACACCCTCCAGTTCCATCCACGTCATTGCAAATGGCAAGATCTCATTCCTTTTGATGGCTGCATAATATTCCATTGTGTATATATACCACCTCTTCTTGATCCATTCATCTGTCGATGGACATCTTGGCTCTTTCCACAGTTTGGCTATTGTGGACATTGTTGCTATAAACATTGGAATGCAGTTGCCCCTTCAGATCCCTACATTTGTATCTTTGTGGTAAATACCCAGTAGTGCAATTGCTGGATTGTATGGTAGCTCTATTTTCAACTGTTTGAGGAACCTCCATACTGTTTTCCAGAGGGGTTGCACCAGCTTGCATTCCCACCAACAGTGTAGGAGGGTTCCCCTTTCTCCACATCCCCGCCAACAGCTGTCGTTTCCTGACTTGTTAATTTTAGCCATTCTGACTGGTGTGAGGTGGTATCTCATTGAGGTTTTGATTTGGATTTCCCTGATGCCGAGCGATGTTGAGCACTTTTTCATGTGTCTGTTGGCCATTTGGATGTCTTCTTTGGAAAAATGTCGTCTGTTCATGTCTTCTGCCCATTTCTTGATTGGATTATTTGCTCTTTGGGTGTTGAGTTTGATAAGTTCTTTATAGATTTTGGATACTAGCCCTTTATCTGATATGTCATTCGCAAATATTTTCTCCCATTCTGTCGGTTGTTTTTTGGTTTTGTGGACTGTTTCTTTTGCTGTGCAAAAGCTTTTTATCTTGATGAAATCCCAATAGTTCATTTTTGCCCTTGCTTCCCTTGCCTTTGGCGATGTTTCTAGGAAGAAGTTGCTGCGGCTGAGGTCGAAGAGGTTGCTGCCTGTGTTCTCCTTTAGGATTTTGATGGACTCCTGACTCACGTTTAGGTCTTTCAACCATTTGGAGTCTATTTTTGTGTGTGGTGTAAGGAAATGGTCCGGTTTCATTCTTCTGCATGTGGCTGTCCAATTTTCCCAACACCATTTGTTGAAGAGACTGTCTTTTTGCCATTGGACATTCTTTCCTGCTTTGTCAAAGATAAGTTGACCATAGAGTTGAGGGTCCATTTCTGGGCTCTCGATCCTGTTCCATTGATCTATGTGTCTGTTTCTGTGCCAGTACCATACTGTCTTGATGATGACAGCTTTGTAATAGAGCTGGAAGTCCGGAATTGTGATGCCGCCAGCTTTGCTTTTCTTTTTCAATATTCCTCTGGCTATTCGGGGTCTCTTCTGGTTCCATACAAATTATAGGATTATTTGTTCCATTTCTTTGAAAAAAGTGGATGGTATTTTGATGGGGAAAAATACGTCTTCTTTGTAGCAGCTAGGCTCGGCCACCACTGTGCTTGGCTGAGTTCACAAATCTCTTGTAACCTGTAGCTTCCCTGTCTCTTCTTCGGCTCTCCTCTCCTGCTAAGCTTTGTTTCCTGTAAGTGATTAAAACCTTCTGCCACTGCCGTAGCTACTGCTGCTGCTGGAACCACCATAACCACCTTGGTTTTGTGGTTTGGCAAGGTATTGGCCTCCACTATCATAGGGGCCAGAGCTTCTGCCTCCAAAATTTCCTCCTTTCATGGGTCCAAAATTTCCTCCTTTCATGGGTCCAAAATTTGAGGATTGATCGTTGTAATTGCCAAAATCATTATAGCTTCGACCACCTCCAAATTTGCTTCCATCATTACCAAATCCGTTATAGCCATCCCCACTGCACCAGATCCACCCCATCTCCACTGCCACCAAAGCCACCTCAACCACTGAAGTTCCCTCCATGACCAAAGTCATTCCCACCAAAACCACCTCCATGACCACCACCAAAGTTTCCAGAACCACTTCCACCTCTTTGGCTGGATGAAGCACTAGTCATCTCTTGCTTAGATAGGGCTTTCCTTACTTCACATTTGTGGCCATTCACAGCATGGAATTTTTGAATGACAATATTGTCTACAGAGTCATGGTCATCAAATG